ATATATTACCATAACAAAAGCAGAATCCCAAATTTCACAAACCACAATACTTATATATAGGCTTTCTGATAACTTATGTATAACAAGTTTCAGCGGAGCTTTATTTCTACATCGCTTGATTTGGTTCTTTAAGCAGAAAGGTCCTGGTAAGAGCAGAGTCGGAGGTATAATAAGAGACCAACAGTAGACGCATAGCCTGCAACACAAAAGTAGTCAACAACACAATAATTAATCAGCTGACAACAGAAGTAGTTAGTTCGTCTTATGCCAAAAGTTGAGAGGAGTGAAGGTGAAAGAGTTGCTACAGCCGATGATAAGTTTAATTTGCAGAGTAATAGGTAAGTTTACTTTTACAGAGGAACAGCAGCAGTTGAATAGAAAGGCAGAACAAAAATCTGGAAGCGCATCGCAAATCTGATCTTTCTACATGCATTTCAATGACCTGGCCAAAATCCAGGTATTTGCACCGCCGAAAGGATACTTTGTAGTCATTCGTAGGTGCAAAAAAAGGTACTTCTAAACTTAACCAATAAAGGCATAACAACTGCTGAAAACATCATGCTGAAAAATCATGGGGTGTTTTTGCATAAGACGTTAATGAGTTAAACACATACCTCCTTTTCACCCACATGCAATCTTCAATTTGCATAAAGCAGCTAGGCCTGTGATTGAGGACATTGGTGTTACTATGAGATCGTCAGTTATGGTAAATATTGCTGGTCCAGTGACATATCCCCTGCCGCTTGTACTGTCCTTGGAGTGAGACTTCGGATCCATTACAGTTAAACCTCCAGAGCTCCGTACGTCAGCAAAAGAGAGACGTGTCTCATCAGTAGTTGGACGCAGGCGATTATTCGCTCCGATGTAGAAGTAGTATGGCTGCTGCATGTATTCTTTAACGTTTAATGGCTGTTTCTCATAGCCAAAACCTGGAGCAAGCTTGGGACTAACTAGCATTTCCATATTCTCCTTGGACTTTAAATATTGCTTAGCATCAAGGTCCTGAATGCTATCATATAGGTTATAGATGTTTCTTTTTGAAGTGTCACCTTGCATTTCTTTTACTATAAAACCTAGTGGAGTAGTAAGGAAACTGAAGAGCAAATCAATAAAGTCTTCACTCGCTTCAGCGTAGCCCTGTTCTTGGATTTGCTTATCATGAGCTTGACATAAATCTTCCCGTAATCATTTGTTGCTGTCTCTAACTTAGATTTTGTGAAGCGTACCTGCTCAAAATCTTCCTTACTCGGCATAAACTGGGTTCTGCTCCAAAAAGGCTTCTGTCAAAGGTTGCTTTGATACTAGCAAGCACTTGAGCAAGTTCAAGGCCTGAGAGAAGACATCAGATTATGAATTTCTGATATGTTTATCTAACGAATAACTAGCTAGACATAGTTGGTTTTGGGTAGGACAAGTGGTCATGACCGTCTTGGGTACCTATCTCACCTTGTCTACTCCCATGCTGAAGGTCTTCTCTTCAATGGAGCTTGTGTCAATGATCCCAAGTTTAGAAAATAAGGAAAAGCTTGCTGCGGTTGACGAGGGCATTGCTTGCAATTCATCACTTACTATAAATCGGTCTGGTCCTTTGACAAATACGCCTCTGTCTCGAGCATCAAGATCTGTCCTCCTAGACTCGTTCATTTCCAAAGACATATCATCCATTCGCTCTCCACAATTACAAATAGCAGTCTCATAATGACTTAGTAGCTTACAACCAGTCTTGCAAACAAAACACATCAGGGGTTTACTTTCATCAATTTTCAGTCTTAGCATCTTGCATTGATCTTCTGCTCCATTTTGTGGGTATAGCAGCATGGTCTTGCAAGCTTCAGTTCGCAGGTGAATCATCTCAAGATTTTCAACACTTTTGTATAAGTTGTTCTTGCAACCTATCCTTGTTGTTGGTT